TTATAAATTATCAAGGGCTCATGAGGGAGGGGGGAGCGGGGAGGGAGGGGAAAAAATATGAGGACCTGATGCTGGGGGCTTAAGTGGAGAGCAAATGTTTTGAGAATGACGAGGGCAATGAATATACAAATGTGCTTTACACAACTGATATATGTATGGATTATAATAAGAGTCATATGAGCCCCTAATAAAATGATTTTAAAAAATGTTGATGGCAACATATATACAAATGTGTTTGATACAACTGATGTATGGATTGTTTTAAGAACTGTATGAGGACCGATAAAATGATTAAAAAAGAGAGAGTAAGAGGCCTCTAAATAATGATCTTAAAAAAAATCTGGCAAGGTTTTCATGAAAATGGTTAAAATAGACTCGAAGCAATTAATGGTTAAATTATTTTCATAAAGTTGGCTTACTATCCAACCATGAGATATAATCATGGTTCTGCAAAAGTTGTCTTCAAGTAACCCCCAACTCGGGGAGACCCCATGTACAAAGAAATTAAACTCTGCCTGACCCTGCACCATCCCTGGGATCTTTGGGGGATTGGGCCATTGCGATCCATATTTTCACTGGTTGCTATTTTAGACTGCAAGGTCAGAAATTTGACACCACCAGATTCGAAAGAGGGAGATGGGGCATTATTCTCCGGGAGAGAGTTACAGACTCGGAAAGTCACACGCGGCTGTTCTACCCTGTCCTACGCGGCTGTTCTACCCTGTCCTACGTAGGGAGGCTTAGGGTCTCTTGAGTCAGAACTGGCTTGACGGCAGTGAGTGAGTGATTGAGTGAGATATTACAGTGAGAATTCTACTACTGAGCCCCACTGCTTCAGAAGGTGACATTCCCACCCACTGCCACCGAGCCCATCCTCAATCCTAGTGACCCTGTAGGACAGGAGAGCTTCCCCAGTGGGTTTCCAAGGCTGTATATCTTTGCGGGAGGAGAAAGCCTCATCTTTCTACGTTGGAGCCACTGCTAGGATTCTAACTGCTGCCATCTGTGGTTAAAAGGCCACTTCGTAATCCGTTTTGCCACCAGGACTCTAGGAGACACTGAGCCATCAAATTCTGAGAAAGAAACGCAAGCGCCCCTCTCTAAATTTGGTCCTTGAGTTCATATAGCAAGTGCCAGTCCAACAGAGAAGCAGATCTTCCCTAAGACAAACGTCCCTGGAGGAGTCTTCTCATCTAGCCTTCTTCCCCAGGCCTACACAGGAAGAACCAGAAATGGGACGACTTACCTCCACACCATGGGGCTTCTTCAGACTCTCTCCTTAGTAAGGATTCCTTTCAATGCAAAAACCGTCTATCACAATTACCCTTTTTACTCTGAATTGTATTTATTCCTTAAGCACTCTGGACCTCTCAGTGTAATTGGTTTTCCAGAGCTTTCTCTCAAGTTTCTGCTCGATAGAGTTAGAAGTGCTGCTGCACTTTAATTTTTTCAAGGCTCAAACGTGATCTGAAGGAAGCCATGCACAGAGCTTATGTGGTGTGAGAACAATTTAATGTGGTCTTGCCAGAGATGATAAACCCTGCTGGCTTGATCAGAAACTGGCACTGTTCAGATTTAGCCAACTTTCAGGCACAGAGCGCTGGCCCAAGCAACGTCTAAGGTTGAAGTGGACTCAGCAAAGCTGCCGACACCACAAAGGGTCCATTTCTATCACCACGGCACTTCCTCTGACCCAAGGAAGGCAAGAACACAGATGGCTATTCTCCCTCTCTGTCTGATGGAGAAACGCGTCTGTAACCTTGAATTCCACCCAGGTCCATCTGTAGGAGTCTTGAATATTGCTTATCATGGCACCAACATTTCAGAGTATACGATTACTGGTATAACCCATGGCCACTGAGATGTTCTGACTCACAGCATCACTAAACATGGTTTCTGAGACTGTTATGCTTTTTGGCAGCAGACAATCTCATCTCTCTCACACAGAGTGGCGGGTATGTCTGAACCTCCAACCTTGGAGTTCACAGTCCAAAGTTGATCCCACAGTGCCACCACACAACTGTGGGTGTGGTGAACCCTTGAAAACTTCACGAGTGACGACAAATATAAAATACACTGGCTGCGATCTTCAAAATGCTTGCTTCTGAGGCCTCACTACAGAGGGCATATCTGCCAAGAGATCTACAATAGCAGTTGTGTATTTCCACAGCTGCCTTGTGTGGTGAGCAGACTCGCTTGGCCACACACACTAAACACAAAGCACACATCTGACAACGGCTGGAAAAGGATGTGCTGCTATGCAAGTCCAGTGGCTGCACGCAGTACCTCAATTCATAGTGTGTACACACACACACCACACACACACACACACGAATTGTCACTGTTTGAGAAAATGCTGTCTGCGGCAGACAGGCACTTACCGAAGACTCACTGTCTCTAATGAGGAAGTCCCCTTCCACGCCCCGCTCGTTGAGGGCGCACTCCGCCTGGTGCCGCGTGACGTTCCCATAGTACCACTCTCTCCCGGCGAAGCGTCCAGTGGCCGAAGGCCCGGTGTAGCTTATCTGCGGCACGTGGGATGGGTGCAGGGCGGGCCCCTCACTGAGGACGACCACATAGTTCTTGGGAACGAGGCCAATCTGTCCCCGGGAATTTTTACATTTCCACCACTCTGGGTCATTTTCCGGTTTCTCAATCACTTCCATGGTTTCGCCCTTCTCGAAATTGAGCTCCTCCTCGGTCACCGAGCTGAACGGGTACAGGGTCTGGACCACGTGGAGGACGCGCACGCCCTGGCCGTTGCTCAGCGAGGCGCCCTTGCGCAAGCTCGGGAAGCTCGGCGAGTCCGCGGTGGCCTCGTCCACCTCCTCCAGGACGTAGTTTGACGGGAACCAGCCAATCTGCCCATTGTAGCTGCCTCGCCACCAGCCGTCGCTGCACTTCTCCATGACGACGACGCGGGACCCCTTCACCAGGGACAGCTCGTCCTCCCTCTCGGCCAGGTAGGCGAACTTGACGTAGGCGGGGATGTTGAGGTCGTAGATGCGGTCGGCGCTACTGCTGCCGCTGCTGCCGTTGGCCGGGTACTCGGCGTCCGTGCTGGGCGTCGGCGAGGCGTCCCGTGCGCTCGTCTTCCTCTTCGTTTTCCCGAGGCCTGTGGAGACACGGGAGAGGCTTAGTGGCCACTCAGGCAGGCGGGTGCAACACAAGACGGAGGCGTTTATGGTTAAGCAGTCGCTGTAGCGAGAAGTACTGGGGTCTTTGTGCACGTCCTCCGGCGGGAGACTACATGGCAGGGAGTGTGGTCATCAACTGTGGTGACCAAGCGCGATCGCCACCAGGAAACAGAAACATCTGACAATAGCGTGGGGTGGTGTGAAATTCCTAGAACCTGTACGGTATGGAAACGGATCCCTCTCCCCTGTACTCAAGAAAAAAACACACATCGTAAAACATAACAAAAATGGTGGGCAGGTGGTTTCATTCTGAAGTGGCCTCCTCCCAGAAATAAGGGAAAAGGCAGGGACAGTAGGTCTTCTACACTGCTCCTCTAGGTGGGAAGCTGACCTGCAGGACTTCCAGGGCTCCGTCTCACTCTAGACCTCCCTGAGCAACTCTGCCTTACCTGCCTCTCCGCCCTACAGCCGCCCTACAGCCGCTGGGCAGCACAGTGGGCCCACCCTAGGGGACAGGAGTGGAACAACTCACCTTTCCTCTCCTCTCGTCCGAAATTCTACTTTTCTTGCCAAACAGTGACGTGATTCCCCACAACAGTGAGGAAATCTTAGCCAATCAGCTCAAACTCAAGCAGACTTGTTCTTACTGTGATTGAAAACTCGCTTAAAACAACACGAGTTCACATCAGTGTGTATCGGAGAACTGTGCTTTGTGGGGCTTCCCAATACCTGAGATCCTTTCACATCGGGGAGTTTGGGGGGTGGGGCGCTTGGTGTTACAGTCATTAAGCATTTGGCTGCTAACTGAAAGATCCACCCTTGAACCCATTAGCTGCGCTGTGGGAGAAAGCTGTGGTAATTCGCTCCTACACATTTATAGCCGCGGAAACCATATGAGGGAGGTTCTAGTCTGTCCTATAGGGTTGCTGGGAGTTTTGAAAGATCACCAGGTCTTTCTTCCACAGTACTTGTGGAGTATCAAACCCTCAACTCTGCCCATTAGTAGCCCAGCGCTTAACTGACTGCGTCACTCAGAGATTCCCCAAATTGACTAGTGAATCACAAAATCAACTTAATGGGCTTTTTTTTTTAAGTCCCAGAGAACCAAGGCATCAAAAAATCGGTTAAAGACTCGTAACTGTTCCTCTCCACGGAAATCTTTAGTAAAAGGCAAAAGATTTATACGATCTGAAGAGAAATCAGAGTATTATGTGGCCTTTTTTTTAAAAAAGGGAAGAAGATAGAGAATCTTTGGATGTGCTAAACATAGTGAGGGTGAAGCTTTGTTTTTCCAGTTAAATTTGGGAGTGCATCCCACATGATAATATGAAACTTCTCCCAACAGATGAGGAGACAGGTCTGAAAAGCCCAGAGGTGGAAATGCAATTTAACCCAATTAAAATGGACAGAACGCTGAACATTCTGGAGAAATGAGCCTAGCGAAAGAGATGGCAAGGCAGCCCTGGAACCTTCCCTGCTAGAGAGCAGCTCACCTGCCAGCTCTGCCCCTAACTGCAGATTCTGTACGAACACTGTGGCCACATGCAGCCTTCTCTCCCTTGTCCAAGATGATAAGCGTTTTCACAGGTAACCTGTACCTACTGGAATGAAGACACCTGGACCCTTAGACTTACTTTTGCTTCTGTTGATGTTTGATCAGGTGTAAAGTCAAGAGGTCATGTGAAATCAAATGTTGTGTGTTCTCTACTGTGGAGAATTGGTCTGCTGCGTTCTAGCGTGGCCCTGCCCAGGGCTCTGGTCACCCAGCAGAGTGAGTTAGGTGTGTATGTGTTTACTGTTGGGGAATGGTCACTGAGAGGGTAACTTTAAAGTGGACACATCAATCCATCCAAGGTAATGGCTCTGCAGTGTCTTTATGTACCATAGTCAAGTGCATGCGAAGAACAAGAGAAACCAAGAATACCGGGCCATGTGTTTACAAGTTTGATTTCTACATAGAAGGAACTGCTTTCAGGATGAAAACATGAACGAGTCGAGATGGAGCAGGATCAACTTCATGCGTTTTCAAGTGCAGGAAAATGCACCTATGCCATGAGGGCGCTGTGATCATCCATTCAACAGCTTCAGCACCCCGAAGGCTGACGGTTCACAGAGGTAAACTTTGGTCTGGAAGAGCGCCAGCACTGGCGTGAGGACATCATGAGACAATGGGTGTGCTCAAGTGGCAATGCCCGGGCAAAGGATGTGACATTTCGGTACGGCACTTTTCGAATGTGTGAGGAATCGGAAAGGCTACTTGAGGAAATACCTACTGAAGGAGAGGTTTTAGAGTATCCATCATGATGTCAAAGTAGAGGGGGCAAGACAACACTAGGGTTTCACGAGGGAGGGGGGAGCGGGGAGGTAGGGGAAAAGTGAGGAGCAGATGCCAAGGGCTTAAGTGAAGAGCAAATGTTTTGAGAATGATGAGGGCAATGAATGTACAAATGTGCTCTACACAATTGATGTATGTATGGATTGTGATAAGAGTTGAATAAGCCCCCAATAAAATGATTTAAAAAGAAAAAAGACAATACCAGGGCTTGACTACAGGATGCACTATATATGGCACAGTGTGCATACACTTATCATAGCACTTGATAACTGCTTTGTGAACAGGCCTTACCTGGCGACTCTTTCTACATGTGAAACAACATAAGGTAAGTAGTTCCATCAAGTCTAGCACTGCATTCTTGCCAAGAGACATCGGTGAGGGTGGGATAAATAAGAAAGGCCCCTTGCCCTTATGTGGAGCTTACATTCCTCTGCCAAAATTAGTATTTTACATAGCAAATGCTCCATGGGAAATGAACCCATTCTGTGATAACATGATCAACGGTGGATGGCTTTCCTGCAGGGTGATGGCGAACACAGCCCTGAGCGGGAACCCTGGCTCTTATTAACTTGTGTTCACAGAAAAGGAAATGTTACTTATCCTCTCTGTGTCGGTGTTTAAAATTCAGATGGCTACATTAAAAAAGGTAGCTGATAAAAGGTCTCATTTACCTGAAAAATGTGGGAACAATGGTATATAAATTCAGATTGTACAAAGGAAGCACAGAGCATAGGAGTCTATGAACATTATTAATTATCTTATTAATTGCAACGGGACTTTAGGTTTACGGGACACTCTTTCACTAAAAGAGAGCCAGGGACCTCTCTAGTAGCCCTCACTCATGATGTCACCAGGGCTGGTAGCCATCAAAATAGGACGCTCGTCTACCCGGATTTTGGGCACTTGGGAAACCCGTTCCATGGGGGTCCCGTCACAGGGAGCTGCTGGTGCAGTGTGATTCAGGACACATCTCTAGGAATGAGGGAGAGACCCGCTTGACTCCCACCTCCATTATCTGAACCTCCCAGCAGTTCTCTGATGAAGTTGACATTGCCCTGATTTTTGCAGATGAAGACACAGAGACTGACAGAAATTAGGGAGCGGTCCCCACATCCACACATAGCTATGAAAGAGGCACAGAGCCATTGATGCTCAGTAAAAGCCTATTTCACCCATCATGCGCAAGAAGTAAGTTCTGTTGCAGACTAATTTGTGCCATGATTTCCATAGCGTAATACAGGGTCCTTTGTAACACGGTTTATATGTAAAGATGTAGCCTGAATTCTGAAGTAGTGTCAAGAACCTGTTTGCACTCCACCCCCCACCCCACCCCCACCGCCCTCCCAAGCAGGCATTAAGCCTTCCGCAGAGTCTGAGGGACGAGTGTGGCCCCTGTGCTGCGGTGGGAAGCTGCCTGTGGTTTAGCTACTGAAGAGCTGGTGTAAGAAATGCAGCAGCAGTATGAGTCCAGGGGCTCCAGGAATACAGTTAGCTGGCTGGGGTGAAGGATGGTAGAAATCGCACAGATGGTATTAAGTCATCTGGGCTACTGAGTGCTAAAATGGGGATGGCATTTCTCTACATCTCCTCGTTTCCCAAGATGAGGCTGTCTGTTCCCTTAAAGATTTACAGCTTCAGAAACCCACCGGGGCAGTTCTACTCTGTCCTGTAGGGTCACTATGGGTTTGGGTTTTGGCTCTTTGTCCTCTTAGCCCGATTCTGTCCAATGGTCAGCATAGTCTGACCATTGTGTTTAGTATGGTCAGCATAGTTTGACCACAGTGTGGGCAAAGCAAGGTTTGGGGTTGCTCCCACCTTTGCAACTGCAAGGAGTACCGGGGGTGGGTGAGAAAACCAAACCAAAACAACACACCTGAGGAGTGGGGGAAGGGGGAACCTGGTGGTTGTTTGAGCTATCTCAGATGGCAAAGAGAGAGCCACGTAAGAAACCTGACAAACAGGGTGTTCTTTCTGAGGACATCAGGAGAGCCGTATTCTGTGAGCCAGGGGAGGCCCCAAATAGCGTGACTTGGGTGGGAACTGCTCAGGGGGTTGGGACTCTGCCTCATTCTCTTGCTGCCTATACTTTACCTGGCGTCACCAGGGCACACATGCTACACCTGCGAACTCTCGGCAGGATGGGCTTTAATGAAGGAGTAAGCAGTGGTTCACATACATCCACCAGATGAGCATATTGCTCCTACGGGGCCCAGAAAGCAAGGCAGAGAGAGAAAGGAGAGCCTACCCTGACGACTACCACCCCACCCCCAGCCGTCTAGGACCCTGGATAATGGTGTGTGTGTGTGTGTGTGTGTGTGTGTGGCGAGGAAAGGAAGGGGGGTGTTCTCCCACTTGAAGGCCCATTTACTTCCTTTTACGCCAGAGGTAACACAGGTATTGCCCTGCACCCCACTTTCCTTGTGCCAACATGTTTTCTATACTTGTGATTCTCTTCTCTCTAGATCAGGGGTCCTCAAACTACAGCCCGCTGAGGACATTTATCGGGCCTGCCGGGTGTTTTTGCCCCGTTTTGTTTTTTCACTTTAAAATAAGATATGTGCTGTGTGCATAGGAATTTGTTCATAGTTTTCTTGAAACTTATAGTCCGGCTCTCCAATGGGTCTGAGGGACAGTGAACTGACC